TTGACTCAAAGCTCTCTTCTAAAACCATGCGAACCAAAAATTTCAACAGGGGCTTGAACCCACAACCTTGGGATCAAGACCTGGGCTGAGATCAAGAGTTGGACGATTAACAGAAGGAGCCACCCAGGCACCCCAGAACAAAAATCTTTTTTAATCTGCATTCTAAAACTTTCCTGTCTGGCTCAGTCAGGGGAGGGGAGTTGTAGCCTGTGACTCTTGATCTCTGGGTCATGAGTACAAGAGCCCCACGTGGGGTATAGAGATTTCTTAAATAGATTTTTTAAAATCCATTCTAGGGGTGCCTGGGTGGCTCAGTGGGTTAAGCCTCTGCCTTTGGCTCAGGTCATGATCTCAGGGTCCTGGGATGGAGCCCCACATTGGGCTTTCTGCTCAGCAGGGAGCCTGCTTCCCCCTCTCTCTCTGCCTGCCTCTTTGCCTACTTGTGATTTCTGCCTGTCAAATAAATAAACAAAATCTTTAAAAAATAAAATAAAATAAAAATTAAAATATCCATTCTAGGGATGCCTGGGTGGCTCAGTGGGTTAAAGCCTCTGCCTTCGGCTTGGGTCATGATCTCAGGGTCCTGGGATTGAGCCCCATATCGGGCTCTCTGCACCGCGGGGAGCCTGCTTCCCCCCACCCCTCTCTGCCTGCCTCTCTGCCTACTTGTGATCTCTGTCTGTAAATAAATAAATAAAATCTTTTAAAAAAATATCCATTCTAAGAATACACAGTGGGGAATTTATAGATAATCATAATTTGGAGGAGCCTCAGAAGACACAAATACTAAACACAAATGAGATTCTAGATGGCATCTTGGAATAGAAAAAGAACATTCATGGAAGAACGGATACACCTAAATGAAGACTCCAGCCCGTAGTGTTGTACCAATGCTGATTTCTTAGTTTGGCTCATCATCCCATGATTTTGCAAGATGTTCTCATGCGAGAAACCTAGGTGAAGGGTAAGCAACTTCTCTGAACTTCAGAACGTATTTCAAAATCTGTAATTTTTTAAAAGACTCTTCAGCTAACTTGCCGTTTTTAATTTTTTTTAAGATTTTATTTATTTATTTGACAGAGATTACAAGTAGGCAGAGAGGTAGACAGAGAGAGAGAGGGAGGAAGCAGGCTCCCTGCTGAGCAGAGAGCCCAATGCGGGGCTCAATCCCAGGATCCCGGGATCATGACCTGAGCCAAAGGCAGAAGCTTAACCCACTGAGCCACCCAGGCGCCCCTAACCTGTCGTTTTTAATCTTCCTTGGTACCTTTCCACTGCAGGAGAGCTTTTAGTCAGATAATAAAAGGGGCTTCTGAAACTCTTTAACATCATTTCCCTCATTAATTACCCTAAACCACAGCTCTTTGGTGTTGTAATTATGGATCACTCCTTTGTAACCTTGCCCTGAGACCCCTTCATAGTAGAATGGCTTATAGGCAAAAAGCAAGGCCACTCCTGGAACCTCTTAGAACCATCTAGCTTGCATCTAGGTCAAACTCTAATTTCAGTTTAGGCATCAGAGAGAGGAGTAGAGACCAGACATATGACTAAACATCCTACCATGCACAGGATAGCTCCCCCCACGCAAAGAATTATCCAGCCCAAACGTCAATAGTACCAAGGTTGAGAAACCCTACAACACAGCCCTCTCTACCCCATATTTTCTCTCTAGCAGGAGAGCTAGTCAGACTACAAGAAAAACTCAAAGTCCCTTAAAACCGTTTCTCATGCAGCGCCTGGGTGGCTCAGGGGGTTAAAGCCTCTGCCTTCGGCTCAGGTCATGATCTCAGGGTCCTGGGATGGAGCCTGCTCCCTGCCCCCACTCTCTCTCTGCCTGCCTCTCTGCCTACTTGTGGTCTCTGTCTGTCAAATAAATAAATAAAATATTTTTTAAAAAAATCAAAAAAATAGCTTCTCATGAATGCCAGTTTCCCAGTGAGGCAGTCCCATCAGGACTCTCTCAACCCAGTTCTAGGGTCAGGGAAAAGTAACTTACAGGCTTCAGATGGGTTCAGTCCTGCCCCTCCCCCAGAAGTAGGAGTAGATGCCAAGGGAAACTGGAGCTATCTAATCCCATAATCAAGCCTTCACCCCTCTTCCAGGTCCCACCCTAACCAGTCTCTCTGGGACTTAAACAAGAGCTTGGGCCCCACCTCCATCCTACCACATGCCTGGGAACTGGAGTGTCAAGTTCCCCTCGACCTTCAAGCACTTCCTCCCACACCTCCATGGGAAAGATGGACATGGTGTATACCCACGGACCTCTGGGGGCACCCACGCTTCCACCTAGCCTCCCAGACCCTTGACCTCAGGGGCTCTTTCCCCTACCCTAACTCCTAGGACTGAAGTCCTAGCCTATATCCAGACTTTTACAACCTATCCTTCTGACCTGGCCAGTGTCTGGGGCAGGAACCTGGAGCGGACACAGCTGGTGGGGCTGAGCAGAGCAGGGGGATGTCTGTGTAGGCAGAAGGCAGCAGGGGAGTCATTCAGATCTGAGGTCCAGGGGTGCTGGCTGGTTTGATCAGGAAAGCATGAGACTCTTGACTTCAGGGTTATGAGTTCGAGTCCCACATTGAGCATAGAGATTACTTAAAAATAAAATCTTTTGGGGCATCTGGGTGGCTCAGTCACAAAAGCGTCAGACTCTTGATTTTGGCTCAGATCATGATCTCAGGGTCGTGAGATCGAGCCCCACATCAGGCTCCACAGTGAGTGTGGAGCCTGCTTGGGATTCTTTTTCTCCCTTTCCCTCTGCCCCTCCCTGCCCCACTCACATTCTCTCTGCTCTCTCTCTCTAAAATAAAATAAAATCTTAAAAAAAAAAAACACCCTAATCTGAGGTCCGTTCTCCACTTCCCCCAAATCCTCCCTCAGCCTCAGCCCCCTTCAGTCCTGCCCACTGTAGTGTGACTCATGGAGGCGTGTGACATAGAAAGAAAGAGAGTCCCAGAGAGCCAAGAAGAGACGGTGTCTGAGAAAGACTTACAGGGAGAGGGAACCAGAAAGAAAGAGAAAAAGCACAGTGAGAATTAGAGACAGAACAGAAGTTAGAGACCCAGAAAGGCAGAGGGTGAGAGAACAAGAGAGACAGAGACATAGAGACCAAAAGATCCAGAGGCAGAAGCAAAGTGAGACACACAGAATTTCAGAGACAAACCGCAAGAGACAGAGAATGGGAGAGCTCCAGCCCAGAACAGAAAGGACCTTGCCTGGGGTCACATGACCCGTCAGGGGCAGAAATGAACTTGAACCCAGAGAAATAGAGTGAGTGCCCCAAACACCGAAAAGACCCTGCCCCAATCCCTGGCTCATTTTGCCGAGCCCCAAAACCCCAGATCAGACCCAAAACCAGACCCAAATGGCAAAAAAAAAGGAAAAAATTGGGGGTGCCTGGATGGCTCAGTCAGGCAAGCCTCTAACTCTTGATTTCGGCTCAGGTCATGATCTCAGGGTCATGAGATGGAGGCCAGCATCCAGGTCACGCTGGGAGTGGAACCTGCTCAGATACTCCCTCTCTCTCTCTCTCCCTTTCTCCGCGCTCCCACACCACCCCACCCCCGTGAATAAATAAATACAATCTTTAAAGAAAAGAATGGAAAAGATTTTGTCCTACTCCAGGGCAAATGGCCACCATCGACCACAGTAAGGAGAGCTAGGGTCAGCCTCAAAGAGGCCACTGGGGGCTCCCAAAGGGTTGTAACCACTCCAGGCATCGCTCCAGCTCACTGCGAGCCCGGAGCCACCACCCCGAAAGGTAAAGCAAGCAAATGGAAGGGATTAAAAGTCATTGGGAAAACTCGAGGCGGCGGGGGGTGGGGCAAGGGGTGTGGGCAGAGATGATTTAAGGGCAGCCCCCACCCCCCAGGCATCCGCAGAGCTGCAGGGCACTGACCTGGAGCAGATCACACTTCTGCTGCCCAGAAGCTCAGCAGGTAAAGGGCCAGGTGCAGGTCACAGAGGAGGGTGGCTCTCAAGACAGGGCTCACCGGCTTCATCTCCCTTCAGTCGCTAGACTGCCTGGGATCTCCCTTGTCATCTCCGACGGTCCTTGAGGTCCCTGGACTTGTCTTTCTGGGGCTTTCTCTGGCTCTGTGTTTGTTCATTCACCCAGATTTTAGAGCCCAGAGCGGGGCTGGGCATGGGCTGGTACCAGCATTTACCCAGCAGGGGGCACCTCTCTCTGCACTGAGCCCCTGGGTTCAGAACCCCTGATTCTTTTCCCTCTGCTTCTGCTTCTGCCCTCTCTCTCTCAGTCTGTCTTGGTCCCTGTCTCTGTGCATCTCTGTGTAATGTTCCATGTGTGTGTCTGTGTGTCTGTCTCTGTGCATCTCTCCTTTGTGTCTGTCACTCTCTCTTTCCCTCAGTCTCTGTTTAGCTCTTTATTTCCTGCCCTTTCTCTTTCAGTGTCCGTCTGTACGTCTCTCAGGAAGCATGTGTCTCTCTGTCTCTCTAACTCTCTCTTCTGCCTTTCTCTAGTTCTCTGTCTTCATTTGTCTGTCTCTGGCCCTGTGTGTCTCTATCTCTGATCACTGTCCCTGTGTGAGATTTGGTCCATGATAGCTGATGACAGACAGACAGACAGATAGATGATAGGCGTACATTTATAGATACTTAGATAGCTCGCTTGGTTTTTCCGTATCCCTCATTATCTCCACGTGTCTCTCTCTCTGTCTCTGTTCTGTTGCTATCTCTCTCTCTGTCTCTGTTCTGTTGCTGTCTCTCTTACTATCGATCTCTCTGCATTTTGACTGTCTCTGCCTCTGCTGTCTGCCTCTCTCCGTGTGTGTCCTCTCTCTCTCCCTCCCCTCCTCTTCCTTTCTCTCACCTCATTCCCTGGCCTTTCCCTCGCCCTGTCTCCTCTCTTCTCTTCACCTGCCCTCACTTCTAAGGTCTGGGGAAGGCAAGTCCCAGAAGATGCGGAGTGAAGGGATCCCACTCAATTCCCAGTCCTGCCCTTTCCCACTCTGCCCCCCCAGATACCTGCGGCTGCTTTCACCATGGACTGTCTGAGCATAGCCATCTTGCTCGGGCTCCTGGCTCTCACCAGTCTGTTCCTGATCCTCAGTTCAAGGGGCAATGGCCGGTTGCCCCCAGGCCCCAGGCCCCTCCCATTCCTGGGAAACCTGCTGCAGCTTCGCTCCCAAGACATGCTGACCTCTCTCACCAAGGTGCAGGGACCTAGGCTTGGAGGAGGGGGGAGCAACTGGGGGAGGGGGTCTCAGGGCCCCAGACGCCCCCGTGACATCTGTCTTCCTACCCCCAGCTGAGCAAGGAGTATGGCTGTGTGTACACGGTGCACTTGGGGCCCAGGCGCGTGGTGGTCCTCAGCGGGTACCAAGCTGTGAAGGAGGCCCTTGTGGACCAAGGGGAGGATTTTAGTGGTCGTGGTGACTACCCTGTCTTTTTCAACTTCACTAAGGGCAATGGTAAGCCTGTCTGCCATCTTCTCCACCCCAACACATTCCACACTGAGGGAGGGATAAGGCTAGGAGACTGTCCTCCCAGTTTTGGTGGCACTCGGGGCTGCTGATCTCGCCAATGACACTAGGCGGGACGGACCCGGATGGTGTTAGTCTGGGTAGAGTCCGGTCCACCTTCCCCATCCCCGCATCCCACCAACATCTTGAAATGCACTTCCACACCAAAACCCGCTTCCATCCAATTCCAACCCCATTCTCATCCCAACCCCTACCTCTAGCCTAACCACATCACCAAATTTCCATCTCTGTCAAGTGGCCAAATTATCTGGCCCAGCCCACGTTACCCACCTCAACCTAGTCCTCATCAACCCTACCTCCATGTCCCCGTCCCAACCTCAACTTCATCTTATCTGCAACACTGACTCCTCTCCCTCCCTCCCTCCCTCCCTCCGTTCCCATTATGAACCCCCTCCCAGTTCCCACGTTAAAATCTGTTATCAACCTCATCCTAACCCTTCGGTCAAACTGAACTCCACCATCATTCCCCTCCCTGCCCCCATCTTCTATCTCAATCACCTATTGAGGTCTTCAGTACCTGGTTCCATTTTCAACCCTAATCAGACTACCATAAACAAAACCAACCTTGACACATATCTACCCAAGCCCAAGCCCAAGCTCAACCGCAGTCTACCAGTCCTTCCCATTCTACACAATTCCATTCCCATCAGCGACCTCAAACCCAATTTATCATGAGTCCCATAATCCCCCCTCATCCTCCGTCATCATCCCCATCCCAACCCAAACCCAGATCCACCCATCCAGCAACTCACATCAACTCCAAACCTCTTCTGTCTCAATATCCTGTCCCCCTTACAGTTGGAAATCACCTAGTCTTGTGGGTTTTCTTTTTTTTTTTTAACATTAATCTTTTATTCAAAGGAAGCCATATGACAAGTCCCAGTAAAGGACAAAGGAGAGAGAGAAAGAGTAAGCTGGCAGAAAGTTGCAGAGATCCTGAAGGCTTGCTCCTTGGACTACTCTTCTCCCCCTAAAAAAGCCCTAGGGTTCTCCCCTGTCCCCTTGATTAGATGGGTCCCAGCTGCTCCAGAATTTGGAAGTAAAGAGCTTTGGCTAAAAGCAAAAACCCACCTATTGTGTATTAAAGATACTTTCCACCTTCATGTCCCCTTCCTGGGCTTGATCTTATGACCTCACCTGTCCAGGTAGAGGTGGCTTGGACAAGTGGCTTCCTCTCTCCGACCCTGAGTTGGCTAGCATGAGAAAGTTGTTACAAGTCAATGAGATAATGCAGACAATAAAAGGCAATCACTGAGGTTTTTTTCTTCTTTAGCATCTAGTTCTCTGCTTGTTCCAGGGAAATCAGAGATAAACACACCAGAGACCTTAGCCTACTGTAGTCCCATCAACAGACTATGACCACCTACAGTGGTCAGGGCTGGGTGGGGGATGCTAGGGAAACTGTGGGAGCCCAGAGAAAACACCTGAGGCAGGCAGGGAGGGAGAGCCAGCAAGGGCTTCCTGGAGGAAAGGAGCTCTAAGTTGAGACCTAAAAGATGAAGGTCACCAGTCAGGAGCAGACAGAAGGTGAAGAGTGTTCTGGAAGAAGGACCAGCCTATGCAAAGACACTGAGAACAGGGAAAGAAGAGAACAGGGTCTTGTTCCTGTATGAGGTCCCAATGTCTCAGTGTTTATTTCTCTTGCTTTTCTTCCTTATTTGAGTTTTCATTAATTAATAAGGAATCATCAGCACCTCCCATGGGGTAAGCTCTGCGCTGGGCAATGCTAGAACACAATGATGACCAAGATAGCCCCTCCCTCCCTTCCTCCACTCCCACTCCCACCTTCACAGCCTAGCCATCAGGCTGTAATAATCCAGAGTGATCAGATCTGTGAGAGGGAAACAGAGGCAGAGTGATCAGGACTATGGTGACAAAGCCCAGGGCCCTGTGGAAGCTTAGAGATGGCACCTGACCCAGCCTGGAGGGTTGGGTAGAACTTCCCAGGAAGGGGATAGATTCCAAATTCTCAGTCTCTCTTCCAGCAGACACCAGGAAAGGGGCCTCGGATGGCAGCAGTCTTGGGGACAAGTCATCAGTTAAGCTGTCCCCTCCCCTCTCTCCAGGCATCGCCTTCTCCAACGGGGACCGGTGGAAGGTCCTGAGGAATTTCTCTGTCCAGATTCTGCGGAACTTCGGGATAGGGAAGAGGAGCATTGAGGAGCGGATCCTGGAGGAAGGCAGTTTCCTGCTGGCAGAGCTAAGGAAAACTGAAGGTTGGGGTCCCAGAACTTTAGTTGATACCCCTAACTCACACCCATCCTACCTAGTGGTCAGGACTGCCTTAGAGTGTAGACACGAACTCAAAACCCTTGGAGGCTCCCCACTTGGCCCGAAGTGAGAGTGGCGCCCCCTGAAGGTGGATCGGCTTCCCGTGGGCGTTCCTGGAGGTTCGGCGACTGGATAGGGTGCGTGATGGCCGCTCTCTTGCGTCGTCTCTGTGTGGTATTTTTAAAAAGGATTTATTTATCAGAGAGAGAGAGAGAGAGAGAGAGTGGGCAGGAAGGGGCAGAAGGAGAAACTCTTCAAGCCGACTCCCTGCTGAGTGCGGGGACTCACATGGGGCTCGATCTCCCAACCCTGAGATCAAGACCTAAGTGGAAACCCAAATTATGTCCATCTAACGCCAGACTCGGTTTCCTGGGCCATGCTGTTGTGGTGGTGGCTAATGTGTTATTTTCTGCCGTCTGTTCCGTCATCGGATCATTAGATATCAGATGTTGTGCTGCATGCCATTGCCGAGTGAGGTCCTAGTGTTGTCAGGAGCCGATGCGATATCATACTGGGCTGCATATTGTATACATGTTGTTTTGTGTGGTGTGTGCTGTGTGTTGTATCATGAAGAATAGCCTGTTCCGTTGTTGGGTGGTGTTGTTATTGTGCGGAAGGATGTTGTGGGCTCTGTCCTGCCTGGTGTGTTGCCAAGGACTCGCGGGGTGTTACGCTCACTGCAGGTCAGGTGGCCAAGGACATTTCTTCTGTGCTGCAAGTCACCCTGGCATGGTTGGGTTGGATGTTGTGCGCTCTGGCGCCTCTCGGGGTCTGGGGTGTTGCACGATGCACCCCCTGACCCACTCCGCCCCTCATTCTCAGGCAAGCCCTTCGACCCCACGTTTGTGCTCAGCCGCTCCGTGTCCAACATCATCTGCTCTGTGATCTTCGGCAGGCGCTTTGACTACGACGATGAGCGTCTGCTCACCATTATCCGCCTCATCAATGACAACTTCTAAATCACGAGCGGCCCCTGGGGAGAGGTCAGGACGCCGAGATCGGGCGGGACAGCGTGGGGGTTCTTCCAGTCCTCGGAAAGGGGAAACCGCGGGTGGGGAGAGAAAGGATGTGATGGACTCTGTGTGGTCCCGCCCCTTCCCTCTGGCTCCGCCCCCGCGTCGCACCACACGGTCCAGCCAAGGTCGATCTCCCCACCCAGTTGCCACAGACACCCAGAGCCCCCGCCCCACCTCGGTCTCTCCAGAACCCAGCTGACTCACAAGACCCCAGCCTACCAGCTCCACCCCGACCTCACTGGCAAACCACCACCCCCACTCACCCAGACACACATTCTACCTGATCCTCCAAACCCCTCTCGCTCTCCCTCATCCCCAGTTGTACAACATCTTTCCGAGCCTCCTGGACTGGGTACCCGGGCCGCACCAACGCCTTTTCCAGAACTACGGGTGCATGAAGGACCTCATCGCCCGCAGCGTCCGCGACCACCAGGACTCCCTCGACCCCAACTCTCCCCGGGACTTCATTGATTGCTTCCTCAACAAGATGGCACAAGTAAGTCTGGGCTGGAAGTCTCATCTCTGGTCTGACTTGCCGCCCCCGCCGGAAACCAGCAAGGATCCCGGGTGCAGCGGGTTTGAGAATGATCTTCCTACAACTGGCGGGTGAAGTTGGAACACCTGGCTCGGCTTGGAACCCAGAGCCACTCGGGACCCACCGCCAATTAACAGCTCGTTAAGAAGTCCTTAAGGATCTGTTAACTGTGGGCGCTGCGGCAGAGATTTTCTCTACCCAGTCCTTCCACGCTCCCCAGCTTCCCCGGGGAAAGAAAGTTAAACAGAGGAAGGACTGAACGGACACACCCAGCAGGAGTCGCGCCCATCTATGGGGAAGGGGTCGCACAAGCTCCGAGCCTGTGGTCAGTGTCTGGGCGGGATCTCCCTGCCCCGGGCTCATCTCCCCACCCCTCAACCCCCGCAGGAGAAGCAGGACCCGCACAGCCACTTCCACATGGATACCCTGCTGATGACCACACATAACCTGCTCTTTGGCGGCACCGAGACTATGGGCACCACGCTGCGCCACGCCTTCCTTGTGCTCATGAAGTATCCAAAAGTACAAGGTGCGCGCGCCCCAAGCCTGGCCCGGGGATCCTGCACACAGGGCCGCGGGGCACAACCGCTGCGCACTCGTGCCCCACGAGCCTCAACTCGCCTCTGTCTCAGCCCCACCCACAACCATGGGCACGGCCCCGCCCAGCATGCCAGATAGCCCAGGCCTGCAGTTTACGCCCGAGACCCCCCACCCTCTAGCCAAGTCCACAAACCCACACTGAGGCCAACGCCATCCCCATGGCTCCCGCGGTCCACCAAGTCCGCCGGAACCTGGACCTCGCCCTCCTGGTCTTGCTTTGCGATCCACCCCGACCCTGACCACACAGCGAGTCCCCATCTCACAGTAGGCTAGAGCCTGGCCCCGAGGCTCACCAGCAGGGCCAGCCAGAAATCACCCGTCTGACCCTCACAGTCTGACCACCCGCCCACACAGCACAGTCTGGGACCCCACCTCTCCAAACCCCGCCTCTGGGCGGATCCCCGAACCCTGGACTCCAAGCACTGCCCCATCCCGGATCTCTCCGGGCTTTCGCACTACCCACCCACTCGACCTAAAACTCCATCCCGCCTGGTCTTCGAACGCCGACCACAGTCCCATCCGGGACCTGGATCCCAGGCAGCCCTTAAAGCCCCGCCCGCATAACCCCGCACAACCCCAAAATTTGGTTGCCCCTTACACCAACCAAATTTTTGTCCTCAGCTACGTCTCCCAAACCAACCCTTCCCTTCGAGGCTCCTGCTAACCATCACAGTAATCTCTGTATCCGCGTCCCTATTGGGAAACGTGGGCTGGCCCGCCCACACATGCACACGCCTCTGCCCAGCCCAGTTGAGGCCGCCGGGACCCTTGACTAACGCTTCAGGCCGCACCTCCAGCCCGCGTACAGGAAGAGATCGACCGCGTAGTGGGTCGCGCGCGGCTGCCGGCGCTGGAGGACCGCGCGGCCATGCCTTATACAGATGCGGTGATCCACGAGGTGCAGCGCTTCGCAGACGTCATCCCCATGAACTTGCCGCACCGCGTCACTCGGGACACAGCCTTTCGCGGCTTCCTGATACCCAAGGTGTGCTGGGCACCTGGCAATGGAGGTCTGGCACACTAGGAAGAGGCATCCCCGACTTGCCAATGGCATCCGGGTCTCTAGCGAGGAGGATCCCAGTACCTGGAGCCTTAGTGACTGGCATCCCAAGCCCTAGCAACAGATATCTGAGGCTCTTAAATCCAGAACCTCAGAACCCTTCCCAGGACCCATTCAGTACTATAATGGACTGAACCTCAGACCCTTCCCCATGACAGTTCCCCTTCCTAGGACCCCTGCCCAGCATCCCCAGGGTCTAAGACTTCATCCTAGGGACGCCCTGTGCCTAAGCACGGTTCTGAAAGAACTCTCCCTATTCCTAGAAATCCCAAATCTGCTCTGACAAGGGGCGATATCCCCCATCCCTTTCAACACAGCTTCCAGCACCCATCACTTGGAACCCCAAAGAGTGACACACATTTCCTGAATCCCTGTTGGAGTCCTAGGCTCCATGCCCATTTGTCAAGTCCCTGGGACCTCCAGTCCTGTGGAGTGGAAATTTCAGCTAAAGAATCTCCCAGATCTTCTACCACCACTGATTCTGCCTCCCCACTCACACAGGGCACGGATATCATCACCCTCCTTAACACAGTCCACTGTGACCCCAGCCAGTTCCTGACGCCCCAGGAATTCAATCCTGAGCATTTTCTGGATGCCAATCAGTCCTTCAAGAAGAACCCTGCCTTCATGCCTTTCTCAGCAGGTGAGAGCCATGTAGACAAGAGTCAGGATCTTTGGGGTCCCATATTCCTACCTACATTCCTCATTTCACTCTTTAAACCCTCTCGTTTCTTCATCCCACCGCATCCTCAACTTTGGGTGTGCGGAGATATTTGTTCTCCCTCCCGGCTCTCTTCCTATAGGCAGATAATGGCTAAAAATCCTTGCGGAGGGAGGTGGAGAGGCAGGATATTAATTCAACTTGGAAGTGGTCACCGTCAGTATCTCCACTGTGTGGCGCAGGCGAGCAGTTCTCCTTTTCTTGGCTTTGGTCTTTACCCTGCTGAAAAAAAATCTTTCCTGTTTAACCCAGTAGCAGAAATAAAAAGGGGGAGGGAGGAATAATAATAAGTCATTTACCATATTGCCTACCGCGTACCAAGCTCTGCTCTTAAGAAGACTTATTCGAGTGGTGGCTAAGAGTTCCGTTTTCCAGCCGGACCCCAGATCTGTCATTTCCTAGCTATAACAGTCTTGAATACCTTACTTCACCTCTCTGTGCCTCCACTTCCACATCTATAAAATGGAGAATGGAACATATATAAAATGGAGAATGATATAATTCCAAGGCCCGTCTCTTGGAATTGTTAGGATTAAATTATATTATCAGTATAGGGCTTAGAGTAACATTTGACAGGCAATATGAACTACATGGCATTATATTCATATATTTTTTAAAGATTTTATTTATTTGACAGAGATCACAAGTAGGCAGAGAGGCAGGCAGAGAGAGGAGGAAGCAGGCTCCCCGCTGAGCAGAGTCCGATGTGGGGCTCGATCCCAGGACCCTGGGATCATAACCTGAGCTGAAGGGAGAGGCTTTAACCCACTGAGCCACCCAGGTGCCCCATATTCTCATTTTTTTACCTGCACTTAGCATTCACAACAATCTAATGAGGCACTACTATAATCCCTACTCTTATTTTATTTTTATTTTATTTTAATCATCCCCATTTTATTTTGTTTTTATTTTTTTAAGATTTTATTTATTTATTTGACAGAGAGAGATCACAAGTAGGCAGAGAGGCAGGCAGGGGCGGGGGGGGAGGGGGGGGAAGCAGGTTCCCCGCCTAGCAGAGAGCCCGATGCGGGGCTTGATCCCAAGACGCTGGGATCATGACCTGAGCCGAAGGCAGAGGCTTAACCCACTGAGCCACCCAGGCGCCCCAATCATCCCCATTTGAAATACCCAGAAACTGACTTGCCCAAGATTGCAGAACTAGTAACAGCAAAGCGGAATTCGAATCCATGAACTTGTCCTTGTATCACCCGATCCTTTTTGGCCTCGGATTTACTTAAAACATTTTTCCCAGACCTTTTGACAGGCAGGCTCTGCGGCGTCTCCAATCATTAGCTTCGTATGCTTTTATCCGAGAATTTGCGACTGGACCCCCTCACCCCATCTTACCTCAACGCTGCTCCGCACCCTCCCCCCCACGCAGGTCGCCGACTGTGCAGGTCCTCTACCTCACCGCCATCCTGCAGAGCTTCTCGCTGCAGCCGCTGGGGGCGCCCGAGGACATCGACCTGACGCCGCTCAGCTCCGGGCTCGGCAACTTACCGCGGCCTTTTCAGCTGTGCCTGCGCCCGCGCTGACGCCGCGCCCTTGCGGATTTCGCCAGTGAGCGGAGAGGCACACTTTGGAGCTGGCTCCGTCCCCCTGGTCGTTCCGCTGTGCAGCCCATCCCTCTCGCTCTCACGCTTGCTTCCCCGCGCCTGTGCCTGCCGCCTGCCCATCCTCCGGTCCCCATCTTGACCTGGTCTGCGCCCTCAGAGGCAGAGAAACGCAAGGGGAAAGGGAAGAGCTTGCCTCTTCTATTGTGCACCCTTTGGGGGGGGCTGTTTTTACCTTTTTCTAATAAAGTATCTTTATAAAAGATTCAAACCTGCCTGGACTGAATTACAGGGAGGAGGGCAGCCCCCTAGGACGGGGAGAAGGAATGTCGGGCTGTAAAGGAGAGACCGAACTGACTAGTTCTACTCTCGTCCTTAAAGTGGCTAGAAACTGGGAGAAATTATTTCCTGGGGTAAGAGCTGGAGGACAGCTTGACGACAGAGAGGCAGAGAAACCAAGGCAGAGAAAAAGACAGAAAGCCCCGAGATACACAGAACGAGTCTGCTAGAGATGTGGGTGCTGTACAGAGACAGAGATGGAAGCAGGGAGAACGGGACAGACCGGGAGACAGACACAGAGACTGAAAAATGACACTAACACACAGTGCTTCCTATTCACTCTAAATGCCCCCATTTAAAACTCCCTATAGGACAAAAAAGCATTATATACTTTTTAAAAAAATATTTTATTTATTGGACAGACAGAGATCACAAGTAGGCAGAGAGGCAGGTGGGAGGGGGCGGGAAGCAGGCTCCCCACTGAGCAGGGAGCCCGATGCGGGATCGATCCCAGGACCCGGATATCATGACCTGAGCTGAAGGCAGAGGCTTAACCCACTGAGCCACCCAGGTGCCCCATTATATACTTTTTAAAAAAATGTTATCTATTTATTTAAGAGAGACAGCGAGAGAAAACATGAGCGGGGAGAAAGAGAAGCAGACTCCCCACTGAGCAGGGAGCCCAGCGTGAGGCTCTATCCCAGAACTCTGGGATCATGACCTGAGCAGAAGGCAGATGGTCAATGGACTAAGCCACCCAAGCGTCCCACCTTATACACTTTTAGAGACTTGGAGAGCTGAAATGACTTGGCCAAGATCACACAGTCGGAAGTGGGCAGGGCTGGGAACAGAACTCAGACTCCAACACTGTTCCCTTCCACGTCACAAGTCAGAGACACGGAGGAAAGCAGAGGGTACAGGCATGGAGAAATGGGGAGACAGCGAGAAGAGGAGAGACAAAGAAGGAAACAGAAATGGCCAGAGAGGAAGAGCAATGAAGAGTATCCCTTTGTCTTGCAGTTCTTCCCTTTGGGGTGGGGATAGCAGTCTGGGGCATGGGGCCTCCCAACCTGGGATTGGCTTTGTCAGCCTGACATCCTGCTGACAGAAGCTTTTCTCAATGAACTGGGCATCTTCAGCTCCATGGAGCCAGGGCCAGAGGCAGGCAGAGTGGTGGTGGCCCCCCAGCCATGGGTGGAGGTGGCCCTGGCGAGCCTACCCTACCCTAAACGGGGTCTCCCCAAGGCCATCCAGAAGCTGGGACATGCTCTGCTGAAAATTATAGGCAGTCCCCACACCAGGCGTCAGCTCCTTAATCCCTAAACTGTTGCCAGCACAAGCCAACCACAGAGTCTGCCCCAAGGGCCCAGGCAGGGACAAGGAGGTGGAGAGAGAGAGGGAGAGACTCCGAGGTCCTAAGGAAGAAATAGCAAAGAGCAAAGAGACATAGCAAAGAAATAGCAAAGAGGAACACATGGAAGTATTAAAAAAAGAGATGGAGAGAGATAGGAGAGATGGAGAGATACAGAGAAACAGACGGGAGAGATCCTGAAAACCAAGACTGGGAGTGAAACAGAGAGACAGGGACGCACTGACAGGAAGGCAGAGACAGCTGCCCGGAGAGAAGGAAGACAAGGAGATTCTAAAGCAGAGCTAGAAATTGAGAGGAACAGAGATGAAGAGAGATAGAGATCTGAGAATAGAAGGGAAAGGGAGCTAGAGAGACAGGAGCCTTAAAAAATGAGACACAAAGACAGACAAGGAGAGAGACAGTCACAAGGATTCAGCAAAAGAGAGCTGGAGGAAAACAGAGTCTGAGATAAAGACAGAAACAGAAATCAGGATAAAGAGAGTCATGCATTCGCTCTACAAATGTTTGCTGAGCACCCATTGTGTGCCGAGCACTGTTTTAGTGCTGGGGATACTGAAGCGAGCAGGACAAATGCCAGCTCTTGAAGAGACCCAGAGAGAGCGGCTCATCAGAGAGTCTGACAAAATGGGCTGGGTGGGACCCAGGGAGGGCACCCCCCCCACCAACCCCCCACAGTCTTGTGGAGTCAGCGCCCTGGAAGCAGGGGCCCTGCCCTGAACCCACTGCCTGTCACCTGGGTTCCCAGACAAAGAAAGCCTGACAGATCCGGAGACCGAGGGCAGAGCCAGAGGGCAGAGCCAGAGGGCAGGGAAACAGGGAATTGGGAGATGAAGGGAAAGCGAAACTGCGAGGGATACAGAAAAGAACAAAAGCAGGCAGAGTAAAACAGAGGTGGAAAGAGAGAGATGAACAAAAAAACACGGAGGAAGATGCTGAGAGATGAAACAAAGATAAAACAGAGACAGAGACCCTGAGAGACACTCCCAGAAACAAGGCCAGTCCCAAAAGCTGTGCCGCCCCCACACTCTCCCCAGGTCTGGGCCCTGTGCCAGGCACCTGGTGGAAGGCTGGATCCGGCCAGGCAGGGGTCCATGGGAGGGTGAGCTGCCTTCCTGAACAGTGTACAGGTACAGCATACACCATTTCAAGAGCAAGGGCATGGAAGTGACAAGGACTCAGGCGCCTGTCCCTGGGAATCACAAGCACAGGGCACAGGAGGGCCAGGCTAATGGGTGTATCACCAGGGGTGTTTTTAGAAGTGTATTTGGAAGTCAGGAATGTATTTAGGAATCCGAAGTTATAGGGTATGGCTTTCAGGGGGTCATGGGCCCCAAGGCGGCCAGGGAATTCAGAAATGCACACCTCTGGGCCAAGGAAGCTGGACTCCAAGGACCCAAGGGCTCAGTAGGGTGCACCTGTCGGGCAGGTGTATTGACGTGGAAACGCTAGTGCAACAAAGCTGCCAAATTGGGCCGGCTGCGCCTGGCACGACAGCGACAGAGCTGGGGGGCTGGGTGGAGATCTTGGGTGGGGGAATCTGCAAAATGAGCGGCCATACCCACTCCTGGTATCCGCCCAGCTCCACCCAAGACCCAAAGGGAATCAAATAAAGGCAAAGGGGGGCAGGCATGGACGATAGAGGGCACGATGGTCACGGGAGTCACAGCGTTGCTGCTGCTGCTGGTCCTGCTGCTGGCCCTAGCCAGGCGGGGTTGGGGTGCCCAGGGCACTCAGACTCGGGGGACCCTACCCCCGGGGCCAACGCCACTCCCACTGCTGGGGAACCTGCAGCAGCTGGAGTCTGGACGTCTGGAAGGAGCGCTCATGGAGGTAGCGCCCGACAGTGGGCTCAGGGGCTGGAAGTCCTGGTGCTCTGATTGAAGACAGCCGCGGCCTCCGACCCCTGAGTCCTGAGGAGGGTTGAGGGACCTGGAGCCCTGTGTTTCAGGAAAGGAGGAGACTACGGGTGGATGCTGGGAGCCTGGATATCTGCTTGAGAGAGGAGAGGGCCAATGGGGTTGACTTCCGGGCAGAGTCGACCGGGATCCCTCCCTCCCCACCCCACCCCACCCCACCCCTACTCCTCCCAGTCTGGGGTCCTCAGGGAGGAGGAGCCTAGAGTGAGAAGTTAGGTCGCGGGCAGCGGGGAAGGGGTGCCGAGAGGTCTGCTCTCCGGGTTCAAGGTGGGGAGGAGACCACCGACGGTCCAGACGCCTACTTCTGTGGGTGCAGAGGGCTCGGGCCCTGGTCTTGCAGATCCCGAGGGAAGAGGAAGCCGGGGGGCTGGACTCCTGCGGAGGAAGGAGGAAGGAGGTGGGGATCTGAATTCCTCCGTCAGTAATGAGGGGATGACATGGGGACTCTGGGTCGGAAAGAAGAGGGAGCTGGGGGCGGGGGCTCTAGGGTGGAGGAGGGGGTCAGGAGCCCCGACCAGGACCCGCTGAGCACCCGCTCCGCGTAGCTCTCTGGCCGCTGGGGCCCAGTGTTCACAGTGCGGCTGGGCCGGCGTCCTGCAGTGGTGCTGTGCGGCTACTCAGCGCTGCGGGACGCATTAGTGCTGCAGGCGGATGCCTTTTCCGGCCGCGGGGCCATGGCTGTCTTCCAGCGCTTCACTCGCGGAAACGGTGAGTCCCAGGCGGCGGAATGCTGGCCGGACCACCCAGTTTGAGCGATAAGGGTCGGGGTCTGGAGATGGGGCGGGGCCGAACGAGAAGGCCAGTGAAGGCAAAGAGCGAGAAGGTGGGGCGGAGCTAAAATGTAGAGGCCGAATTGGAGGGACTGGTTCCTGGTGCAGCCAATAGAAGGAAGAGAAGAGCCCAAGAGCTCAAGCCAAAACGAGCGAGCACTGGTCAGGGATGGAGACCAGCAGTGGTGGGGCCAACGCGTGGATAGGGCCGAGAAGGCTGGGGTTGCAGCCGAGAGCAACAGAAAGCAGCAGAATTGAAAGGTCGCGAGAAAGCCAGCTCCAAAACCCGACAGGGATGGGGCGTGGCCAACTCCCCGGCCCGCCCCTTCTCTGCTCTCCCCTAGGCATCGTGTTTTCCAATGGGCCGCGCTGGTGGACGCTGCGCAATTTTGCACTGGGAGCACTGAAGGAGTTCGGGCTGGGAACGCGGACCATAGAGGAGCGCATCCTGGAGGAGGCAGCTTGTCTGCTTGGCAAATTTCAAGCCACCATTGGTGCGGCCTGGGAAAGGAGAGGGGCTTTTTGCGGCTGTGACCAAAGATCAAGGGGCAGGGCAGGGCTCCTGGCTAGCTCAGTAGGCAGAGCCAGCGACTGTCCATCGGGGTTGTAGGTTCCAGCCCCAGGTTTGGTGTAGAGATAACTTAAAAATAAAATCTTTAAAAAGCGGGGGGGGGGGGGGGGTGGAAGGCATTTGTAGTGGAAAGAAGCCAGTAGGCCTAGCCCCCAGGAAAAGACCCCGTCCCGTTCCCCCTCCCAGGAGCGCCGTTCGACCCCCGATGGCTACTGGATAATGCTGTATCTAACGTTATTTGTTCGGTGGTCTTCGGGAACCGCCATGGCTATGAGGACCCAGAGTTCCTGAGGCTCCTGGACCTCTTCCATGACAACTTCCGCATCATGAGTTCCAGATGGGGTGAGGTGAGAGGGCCAGACTCAGTCCCTCCCTCCCATGCCAAACCTAGAGTACACAGACCTACCAACCTTGGATCAGTCTTGGAAGGAAAGAGTTCTAGAACTTAGAACATCAAAGTCCTGGTGCAGTCTCCCTGCACTGGAACTAGTGCACTTGTTCAAGGTCCTGCTGCGGTCTTGTCCCCTTAGATGTACAACATTTTCCCCTCCCTCCTTGACTGGCTCCCAGGCGTGCACCACCGAATCTTTCGAAACTTCACGGAGCTTCGGGTCTTCATCTCTGAGCAAATCAAGCAGCACCAGCAGACGCAGCAGCCTGGAGAGCCCCGCGATTTCATCGATTGCTTCCTGGATCAGATGAGTAAGGTGCGGGTCCCTACTACCCTAAACCCCCCCCATGCCACCCACCAGGAGGTGCCAGGCAGCCGCAACACCCATCTCTGTCCGCAGGAACAGGAAGACCCAGAGAGCCATTTCCAGGAGGAGATGTTGGTGATGACAACGCACAACCTCTTCTTCGGGGGCAGAGACCACAAGCACCACTCTGTGCTATGGGCTCCTCATTCTGCTTAAGTACCCAGAGGTGGCAGGTCCGGGAGCTGGAAAGCCTGGAATGAGGCGGCTTGGGTGTGGGGATGGCTAGGGGCCCAGGAATGCACAGCTCACAGCCTCTGCCCGCCCCCAGCCAAAGTGCAGGCCGAGCTGGATGCAGTGGTAGGGCGGACACGCACCCCAAGGCTGGAGGAACGCAAGCGCCTGCCCTACACCAACGCCGTGCTGCATGAGATCAGCGTGCTGCCGCTGGGGCTGCCCCGTGCCCTCACTCGGGACACCCACCTGCACGGCTACTTTTTGCCCAAGGTGCCCATGCATGGGGATTCTGTGCAGGCCTGGGAGCACCTTCAGCCGAAATCATCAGCCCTGAGCACGTGCAATGCTGAGTCACACAGCCCTGGGAGTAGGGAAAATAGGCCCACCTTCCCACTGGCTTTTAAATGGGGTCTTGGATGACTAACCAAGTCCACGGGGTAACCCCTGTGCACCCCCGCCCCCAGGGTACCTTTGTGATTCCTCTGCTCATGTCTTCACACCGGGACCCCACCCAGTTCAAAGACCCAGAATGCTTCAACCCCACCAACTTCCTGGATGACAAGGGCAAGTTCCAGAGCAACGATGCCTTCATGCCCTTTGCCCCAGGTCTGGGCCTGGAAGGGAGGGGACAAGGCTGGGCAGGCCTGGGAGGGGCGTGGTTCCCACCCTGCATCCCCCTGTCCTCAGGAAAGCGGATGTGTCTGGGTGCAGGCCTGGCGCGATCAGAGATCTTCCTCTTCTTCACCGCCATCCTCCAGCAGTTCTGCCTGCTCCCTGTGGGCAGCCGCACCGACATCAACCTCACCCCGCAGTGCACAGGCCTGGGCAACATCCCCCCAGCCTTCCAGCTCCAGCTGGTGGCCCGCTGAGTCAGGCTCAGCCGCCCTCTGCTCACTGGCTCCCAGACCTCCCTACCCCCTTTGGTCAATAAAGGCCCCGAACTGCAGACAGACAGGTCTCCTTACCAGCAAGAGGGAGCGGGAGAATCACGTTTGCAGCTCTGAGGTAAACTTTTATTTCTTTCTTGGCTGACAGGACTCTTCACGCCCGTGCTCCCCTCTGCACCTTTTCTCCTGCCCACGCAGCGGCGGCCTAGTCCGCAAGGTGCCACAACCATAGGGGCTGGGGAGTCACTTCACATTCCAGGCTGGGGGAGTGGGGGGCTTGGGGATACTGTCCCCCCAACAAACCTTTGCCAGTAAGAGGCCGTGACATCCCCAACCCTCGAACCTGCATCCTGGTCAATCCTGGTGGGAGGTGGCAATGCCTCCTTCCAACTCTCCACGTCTGAGAGGAGCACAGCCAGACAGGGTAAGCCACAGGGCCCCAGCTCCAGCAATGGCAGCTCCCAATACTGGCTCCAGCCCAGGTCACAAGCCCAGCCCCCGTCCCAGGGCAGCAGACGTCTCTCCTCCTCCTTGGTCCTCAGCGTCAGAGGGAGCCCTCCACACCAGGCAGGACAGAGGCAAAGCTGGAAGCAGCAGCGCTGGCCTAAAGGGCGCAGGCACCGAGGGTGGTGGGCTGCTGGGCCGGCAGCACGGGGCCAGAGGCTCTCCCGAAGTCAGGGCAAGCTGTCTGTCCATGCAGCTCTGGGGCTGGCCACTAGGTGGGCGTGGTTGGCTGTGACACAGGTACTTGGACACCTTTCTGTCCAGATGCTAGGGGTGAGATGAGAGGAGACAGGAGTCATCAGGGAAGGGACCCAGAGGCCAAGAAAAACAAGGGAAGGAGGAGGAGAGGACCGCATGCTGAGGGTGCCAAAGGAGAGGGCTGTCTAGGGAAGAGGACAGAGGAGAGAAAAAAGGAGTTGCAAAATTTAGGAAGAGACTGAGGTGGGTAGGGGGACTTGAGGCCTTGTGACGTACATGGAATAGGAAGGGCTCGACAGAGGGGGTGCCATTTGGGAAGCAGGTACCTAGCTGATACTTGTCTTTGGCTGCTGCCCGCTCCTTAGCATCAAAATACCAGACAGTGATGGCGTACCTGGGGACCAGAGCAGCCCCAAAGGGCAGTTAGCGACACTTGTCTTCAATTCCAGCCACCACATCCACAGTGACACCACAGTTCACCCTTCTGAGCCTGGTTCTGTCCCACCTCGGCCCCTCTCAGCGCTTCACTTCCTAGCCACTCCTGGGGTCGGACAAGACTTTGCTGGCACAGAGCAGGAGACCTGAGCTCGTCCCCCCAAATACCGGTCATACCTTGTGGCATAGGCTGGTTTCACCTCATGGGGGTTCCGCCGATCAGACCAGAAAATGAGCAACCGATCGAAGAGGGGCTCAATGTTGGCAACCACAGGCCGGCCCTCAGGGAAGATCTGCAGCAGGCCGCCATGCACCTGAGGGCAGGCCAGAGGATGAGGCAAAAGATGGCAGATGCAAGGCCTGCAGCCGCTGCCTTGCACCCCCTTACCCCTGGAGCCTGCTCTCTGGCGGCCGCACACATCCCTCCCTCCCACCACTCAGGCTCCCCGAGTGATGACAGCCAGAGTCTGCATCACCATGGAGGCGGGCAGGAAGCTCCTGGAGACGGGAAATGGGATGGGGGGTGCTGCCACCACCAGGTCAGCTGGAGACAAGGTGGTGCCATTGCCCAGGAAGAGGGAGCCAGCCAGCAGGCGGCACTGCACTGCCCGACTGTGGGCCCATATGAGGAACCGGAGAATGCCAGAAGCGCAAAATGGAGTGGATGCAGCCACCTCATCCTCCCTCCCACCCCAACCCTCACTCCCCCACGCCCTACCTTGACGTCCCAGTTCTGATTCAGGTAATAGATACAGGTGACGCAGCGCCCGTCGCCGTGGGGATTGTCTACATGCCTCACATACCCCAGTCCGTTGCCTGGGTAACACGCCACCATGGCCTGACAGAGACAGGAGGGGGCTTAGAGGGCAAGGCAGGGATATTTGGGGAGGCAGCCATTACCTCCTTTTTCTCACCCCTCCCAGCCCCTCGTCTCTCCCCAGACTCCTCCAAGGACTCTCGCCCAGACTTCCTTTTTTGTCAGCCAAGGAACCATCTTCCAGAAACCTTAGCTCTTGGGGCGCGATAGCCCCCTCCCCACACACGGCCAGAGCCTGGAACCCAGACAGCGCTCGATGAGTAACTGAGGGTTTGACTTTTTAAAGATAACCTGACTCCCTGCCCCAACCAGACCTTTCAGAATAAAACCAATTTACATGTTTCTGGTATGGAGGGATGTGGCCACAGCCCTGCACCTGGGGTTCTTGACCTTGGCTTCAGCATGGAATCACCTGGGATGCTGATGCCCAGGCCCATCTCAACAGTTCAGAAATACTTGGTCTAAGGTAGAGCCTGGAATTTTTAAAGTTGCCCCAAATAACCATAATGTTGAGAACAGCAATGCTGAGAACTGCTGCCCCTGACTACAAAAAAACCCCACTAGATAAACAGTGTTTCCTACACATATAAACAAGTATCAAAACCCCCACTGTGACTAGAATCTGAGCTCAAGGACAACCTGCTGGGTAGCCCCTGACAGTCCCATGACCTGAACGAGACTCAATGGCCTCACCCGTTCAACAAGCTAATGAACGCCTCCTCTGCTTACAGACCTGGTGACTCCTGACCCCCCCTGCAGACCGTGGCTTGTGTGTGTACAGGTCTAGCCCCAGGTTCTGACCTCCTCTCCCTGCTTGACCACGTGGAGGCCTCGGCTGTTTCTCATCAGGGAGCCACCAGAAAAGTGGATGTGGAGGGAGGGAAAGGGCCCACAAGTTCCTTCAGACCTAACTCTCAGGTTCAAGGCCCAGTGCTGCCACACCAGCAGTAACCTCAGGTGGGAGACTATGCTTCCTGTCTCAGGTTCCTCATCCATGAAATGGAGCTGATAAACTACTTCACAGGCAGTTGTGGGAATTCAGTAAGACAAATGTTTGGGAGGGCACCAAGCACAGTGCCTGTCACATGATGGAAAGTCAAAGGACAGGCTGAAATGACATTTTAAAAAAGAGTCCCCATCCTACCCTCAGCTACTCAGGAGGGCTGTATAAGGCAAACAGGGGAGTACTGGCTTGCAGAATCTCCAGCTTGTGGACCACTCTGTCTTGACACCTGGGCCCGCACTTATTCCAGGCTCGAAACTGCCACCTGCTGCTCCCCACTAACACTCAGCTACACCTGTGGGCCACAGCCCCAAAAAACAGCCCTAGGATGAACATTCCTGATCAAAAAGATGGGCATCTGCTGCCCAAACAGGAGGCTGGCCTAGCGCTCCCAAGCAGGCCAGGCTGACTCAATCCCCAGCCTTTTTCCAACATGGTACTCCCAAGGCTCTCCCCAGCATGAGCAGTCCACAGCTCTGCATTAAACGTGTGTGGACCCGAAGCACCCCAGCTCCCGCCCTGGGAAAGAGGCCAGGAGGCCTGTAGCTGGGTAAGGCCACCCAGCAGTGGAGAGCCTTGGAGGCACCGGGGCAAGACCTTGGCCCCCACAACCCCCAGGTTCAGGAGAACCTTCTCTATACTGTTCACTCCCTGCAAATGGGTCAGTGCTCTGAGCAACCACCTCACTGGGAGAGAAAAAAGTAGCCATGCCCAGGGGGCCTGCAGTGACTCACTGCCCTCCCCAGAGAAAATCCAAGCAGAGACTGCTGGGTCTGCACAACGGTGGGGACAGGGTCCAGGGCTGCAGCCCCTTGCCCACAGTCCACCTCCACACAGCGGCCAGAGACACTTTCCTCCAGCTCTTCACTGCTCAATCCCTTCAAGAACCCCCACCACGTCCCAAAGCCTCAGCCTCCAAGGCCACCAATCTCTGCTACCACTGCTTTACTCCGCTATAGCCTCTCAGGCCTCCTAACTGCTCTCTGACCAGGCCACGCTCATCCATAAGGCCTCTGCTCCTGCCTGGGACACACCTCCCTGGTGCTCCTTGTTATTCACATCTCAGATCAAAGGGCACCTTGAGTACTTCGGCTGAAGGCATCTCTGCTGATTTTTCCATATCCACCCCCCCCCCCCCCCCCCCCCCCCCCCCCCCCCGCCAGATGTGAGATCAGTCCGGATGCTTGTTTACCTAGTACTGGCCCAACAGGCAGTCTCGTGGAAGCCCCTGGGGCCAGGCGTGTCTCCCTAGTGCCCAGGCAGTAGCTGCTTACAGAAGCACTCTGGGTCTCCGGGCCTCCACTGCGTCCTGCCCTGCACACCCTCACACAGGGTTTCCCACCGTGCAGGCAGGGACAGTGTCTGTATTCTGGTGTGGAAGGGGAGTCATGCATGAAGCCTAGGCAGAGAAAGAGGCCCTTTAAACTCCCACCAATCCCTCCACATATACACCTTGGTGGGGAAGGCGGGGTATCCTCTGGCCCCAGAGAAGCACCTACTTCCTGCACCCACAAGGGAAAGGGACAACAAGCAGAATGACAAAAAAGCCTGCTCCTCACCCTCCCATCTCAGAGAAGGGGCAGCTAGCATCACAGCCAGGAGACTAAAGAATTAAAGGCTATTAGTGACAATGTGCCAAAAGCCACAACACCCACACCCAT